AAACAAGCCATCTTTAGCAAACCTTTGCCCTTGCAGTGAGAGTGCGCCACAAACTGCTTAGAAAACATATTTAGCAAAACTATGTTTGTTCATTTTCCACTCGATCCCCCTCCTGCCCCAAATCCCCATTGCAGTGCCAGGGTGGAGGGGACAGCATCGTCCCAGGGCAGCTGCCTGCAGGTGATCATGTTCCATGGCTGTGGCTTGTGCCCAGCCCCGAGCAAGGACCTTCAGGCTGGAAGGGGCCACGAGCAGCCCTGACCCACAGCAGCATCCAGCGCTGCCCTGCCAGCCCCCAAAGTGAGCAGTCTGGGGAAAGGCTGGCCAGCTGCAGCCTGGGAGAGAACCTCCATGTCCTCCTGCAGACTGGGGTTCCTCCCACTTGAGCATCAGTTTATCACTCAGTGTCACAAAGAGATTTGCAGCTCCCTTCTACCCCAAGGCAATAGTCTAAACATCATCCTACGGGTGTCTTTGCAGAGCCTTGCAAAGGAGTTTCTCTGAGCCTCTGCTCCACCCCTGCTTTCCATCCTCTTCTCACCCAGGAGTGGAAAGGCTGCCAGCTCCAGCAGCGTGCTATCCATGTCTGGGCTCCATGGCAGTGGGCACGGCAGACACCGGGGGTGAGGAAATGAGTCTGTCCCGCTCCTGGAGACACGCTAGAATCACTTATTCATCAGCAAGTGAGTCACTGCCCTTCCCACAGGCTCTTCCTGCAAGCAGCGGTGACAGCGAAACAGGATCCAGTGCCTACGCTCCCCGGCCTACCGGGAGAGCTCTGTGCCACCCCCTCCTCCCGGTGCCATCCCTTCCTCCCAGTGCCATTCCTTCTTCCCTGTGCCATCCTCTCCTCCCTGTGCCATCCGCTCCTCCCAAGTCCGCTCGTGGTGCCATTCCTTCCTCCCTGTGCCATCCCTTCCTCCCAGTGCCATCCGCTCTTCCCTGTGCCATCCGCTCTTCCCGGTGCCATCCCTTCCTCCCTGTGCCATCCCCTCCTCCCTGTGCCATCCCTTCTTCCCTGTGCCATCCTCTCCTCCCTGTGCCATCCCCTCCTCCCAGTGCCGTCCCTTCTTCCCTGTGCCATCCCCTCCTCCCTGTGCCATCCTCTCCTCCCAAGTCCGCTCGGCTGGAATAAAAGTCCTGAGAAGTGTGCCCGGGTGTGCCCGGGTGTGCGGGCACACAGGCTGAGGAGCCAGCAGTGTCTGCTCTGCCCAAAGGAGCTTTTTGTCTGTCAAGTATGTGCTACAGAGAAAAGGGCTGCTCTTTTCCTTCTGGTTTTGGAACATCATTCCTCTGTCTCTCAGCCCTGTCCTGAAGCCATTCCCCGCCCACTGAAATGACTGTGCTAGTGACCATGGGACCTCCACAGCATCAGGGAGTCATTAGTGAATCACTGCAATTTCTCAGGTTTCAGAGCCAGGGATTATCTTTATAATGCACCCTGCACTGCTATAGATGAGCAGGATGGAAAGGTCTCTGTTCTTCAGGAACTCCAGCATCCTGTTTTGCAGCATTCATCTTCAGATAATGAACAGACAAACCTGCATCCAGAGATAAATTAAAGCCACAGCTAATAGTAGCAACAAAATAAGTGGCAAAAGACTAAATGTAAATAGCTTTGAAAGCTGATACTTTCAGTGTGACATGATAATGCAAAAAGTGCCATGCCAGTCCTGCTATTATTTGTAATTCCCCAAATGTCTGAATTCCCTCCAGCCAGCATACATTAAGCACAATCCAGGGCATATGCCACAAATCATATTCAATGATGAAAAGTCAGGAGAAAAGCAAGAGCTCAATCTCTCTTGATTACAGCAGCCACAGATTTCTTTTTCATAGACTGCCAGTACTAATGAATGGAGAGGACACAGAAGGAAAACAAAAATACTCAATTCGACGTGCTTCATGTGCCAACAGATGTATCTGCTCATGAACTTGATTAATTAAATGCAAACCATTGTCAAGAAATGTTGTTCAGGGGTTTTAAGCCCTCACTCTGACTAGCATCCAGCCATGGATATGGAAGTATGATCCTGGAAAGCTGCATGGGATTTAGCTCTGGGGTCCTGGGTACAACCGCTGCTACACAGGAGGGCAGGAATTGATTAAGAGATCCATTTTTTGGTGGAGAATAATAGGTCTCCAAAGCTCTGCTAGAGCATGATTTATTCAGTAAGATGTGTCTTGCTGCTGTGCCAGTACAACTGGAATACAGCCTCAAAAGCAGAAGCTGGGCCTCATGTTGACTCACAAAAATCTCTGATTTTCAACATGTAGTTTTCTGTCTAGAGATCATTTCATTGCAGACAGTGCTTCCGAAAAGATCTAATATTTCTGAAGTCGTTGAAATATGTTCAATGTTCAGGAAAAGTTTTGAGACCCAAAGGGAATTTCATAGCACGATCTTTGAAAAATCCAGAGGCAGAGGTCACAGTTAAGCACCACTCGGCTGCAGTGATCTGTTACATGTTCCTAGCAATGCATTATTGCAAGAGGATCGGAATGTTTGCCTTGCAAAGGTTAGCTATGCTTTTAAAATTCACCAGGTCTCAGATCTCCGCAGCCTGAACAGCTCCATGGCAGTGCTGCCCTGACGCTATTAATGACAAAGTGGAAAGCTGTGTGGCAGGGTCTGGCACAGCCCCTCAGAGCTGCCTCACGAGCCTTTGGATGGCCATTTTTAGCCTTGCTTGCTGAAATCAAACCTGGCAGTGCACCTGGCAGGGCATTTTTTTCCTGGTTTTGAAGGATGGTTGGACTGTGCTCCAGTGGGTTCGGCGGCTGAAGCAGGGCTGCACCACCACTGCAGGTCAGACTGAGCTCCTGTCATCACCTGTCTTTGCTTTTTCAGCTGCTACTGACACATTTTTGTATCTAACATTAACATTTCAGTTGTTCTCAGGAGAACAGCCCATTATGTATTAGTCTCACTGATGCTGCTCTTCTGCTCTGGTTGGCAATGCTGATTATGTAAAGGATATTTAATGTTGTAAATAATTAAAATTTTATACAAGATTTTGGCTACTTTTCAGAAGTAAAAAAGAAATAAAAGAAAATGTATGCAGTGAATTTGAAAAAATGCTCAAGTCTTCTAGGAAGTGGGGAGACAGCTAATAATATATAATTAACATATCTTCCTTTCTTCCCTTGTTGGTGCAGACATGCCTTTAGATGAAAAGCATGGGAAATTAAAAGTGTGTGGGACTGAATAATGTGAAATTTTATGTAAGTTCAACCTAGTCACCATCTACACGTGTTATGGAGAGAGCAAGCCTGCTCCTGCTCAGGGATCCCATCCTGTACTACCTTTACACAGGCCTCCCCCATGGGGCCATGCTGGGGCTTTTCCTCCAAAAGGAAGGAAATTATGGCCTATATTTTCCAATGAAAAAATTGGAATTCAAAGTGTCCAAAAGGAGTACATATTAAAGGGTAGTTCGTTCATTTAGAGTCAGACATTTGATTTAAAGTTCACCTCATGTTTCCATCAGACATCCCAAGGTGGCACATCACAGCTCAGCAGCCCACAGTCAGGTAAAACACTTTTTAATGTCTGACTATGGAAGGACACAGTCCATCGAGGAGGCTTCTGAGTTTTCTGACAGGAATCCAGTAAAATATGAAAATTAAAGGTTCACAGACAGCAGCAGCAGACATTCCTGCTGGCAGCATCACTCACCACAGATCCCAGACCAGGCTGTTTCTTTTGTAACCCCATGTCACTTGCACTATGAACAGCTGGCAAGGGGCAGCCCTTCACACAAACCAGAGACTTTCTGATGCTAAAAATGTACCCTGGGCTTAATGAGGCAGAGAGGATACAGAAGTGCCAGGTGTGGCTGTACCAAGCAGGTGCCTCTGTGCCCAGCAGAGGCACTGCCCTGTGCACAGCCCAGTGCCCACATGGATGAGTGGGAACGTCCACTGTGGGAACACCAGCTTGCTAGGAACAGAATGAGGCTTGCTTCTGATAATTGCAGGTGATGGGATGTACTGACTGATACTTCTGTTGTACTAACACTCATAATTATGCAAATCCAAATAGATAAATGGAGGTGTTTTTTGCTAAGAATTAGAGACTGTTACTTGCATTTTACTGTGATGCACACAAGCTGGTTTTGTAGCTGCTGGCTTGTAGTCCCTGGTTATTCAGAGACTGCAAGAATTTGCTGTACTGCTTGTCAGAACCATTGATGGCTCCTGGTAGAAAAGCTCTGACTAAAGGTCAGGGGCAGATGAGTTTCTCGCTCACCCCAAAGCTGACATTTGCAGCCTTGTAGCCCAGAGTAACAAAGGCACAACGAGCCACAGCCACTTTAAAGTCCTCACACCCTCTTATTTCCTCTGGGGGCTGGTGCAGAGACAGAGACCCTGCTGCTGTGTGACGAGCACAGCAGTGTTCAGCAGCAGCACGATGCAGTGTCTGTGCTGAGCCCAGGGCTGTTCCCTTGCAGGGATGTGCTGCTGCGTGCCCCTGGAGCAGCCTTGGAGAGCAGCCTCACCCCAGGGCTCCCGTAACTGCTCTGTGCTGCTGAGGAGATGCCCAAACATCCCTCCTTTCAGCACAGAGGGTTCGTCCTGAGCCCTGGGTGATTCCTCCAGAGACAACACCACCTTCAGCTCACCAGGGGCAGGAGGGTTTTCAGTCCTGAGCATACCCCAAACAGGGCAACAAAAAGCTGCTTCCTGACAATAGGCTTCTCTCAGCACTCAACAAATCCAAAATTTCATCTCCAAGCATTTATAAATTCTACTTTTCCAGTCATGAAAGTACCACTGATCCTGCAACCCCTCTGACGGGGCTAAAGGAACACAGTGAAGCAAGACTAACATTTTAAAGCTCCACCATTTGAAAAAGACTTGAATTTCCAAGTCTTGATACCATACATATAGACCAAAATCACATTCTTCTGATCAAAGGACAGCATTCCATTGAGTTTCAGCTTGCAGCCTCAAAGATATTAATTTCCTGATATCAATGAAGACAGTGAGACAAGAGATTTTACTTAAACTATATATTTTTACATAAAACAACTTTATGTTACAATAAAATCAGATAAAAATCACAAAGTTATATAATAAGTTCATAAAGAAAAAAAATCAAGTTTTCATTTTATAGATATAAAACCCAGCATTTACTGCTACTAGGAGTCTAAATATTAACATTGACTGTCTATGGTCAATTTGAAAAAAAGAAAAAGAGGATAGTACTTTTTTACAGCAGACAAAATGAGGTAAGAGATGTTTTTACAATGATCCAACTGTAGCAAACACTTCAGTTTTCATTGAAACATTTACTAAATATAATAAACCCAAATAAAAATATACATTTAGAGCACTGCAGTGTTTTCCCACAGTTGTATATCAACAAATTGTCATTCACTAAACTTTACTTGAAACAGTAAAAACAGGGTGTATGTTTATCTTCAGTACTAAACCTCATAATAATCTAAATATTTTGGTATAGCAGACCACACTAGTACACTCTCAGAACTTTCAACTACAAGGGATATATTCATGTTAAAAACGATGTGCTTTGTTTGTCATTCATGATGAGATTTATAGAATATTATGTTCATGATCACTATTAGGCAATTAAATGAAAACATCTAAATGCTGCAAAATACTCTTTAACTGAGCATAGCTTCCTCATCACGTACCCAGGTTAATCAAAATCCTGCAAACTTAGAAGCTTAGTTCACTAATCTTACTTATCAGTCTTTTTAGCTAGTATATGGCTAAAATAATTATTGCTGACCAGTGTTAAAAAAACAAACAAACCCAACCCAAACAAAAATACAATAGCAGACAGATTTTTCTCAAGTGCCTTCCTTGTATGTACCATTATTATTAGGTAACTAAGGTAACTGACTTTCAAAATGTGCATATAAAATTTCTGGAAGTATAGGCACCTTCATCTGAAGATTGTATGTTCAGGCTACTTGCTTAAAAAAAAAAAAGAAAAAGAAAAAAAAAAGAAAAAAGAAGAAGAAGAGCTAGCATAAAACACAATAAAAAATCAAAGGCTGGACATCCAACATCCCCCAGGGATGCAAGCAGAGCCCTCCTGGCCAGGACCAGCTTTGCCCACAGCCTGCAGGAGAGCCCTGCTTTGGGAAGCACCTTCATCACATTTATCATTCAACTCCTGACTCTATGTCACTTATCATTTACAGCAGAGCATGGTATTTAAGATGTGCAAACTTCTTATCAGTGAGCCTACAGCCCTGCCCAGCTCCGGGGCCATGGCACCGCATCCATCCCTGGCCAGGCTGTGAGGGCCAGCCGGGGCTCCCTGGCTCAGGTGTGCCTGGATTCACCTTGTGCCTGTGGATTGCTTTTCCTGACACACAGGTGCTTGCTGAACACCATCCATGGAAAGAAAAATGACCTTAGGGTAGCTTTCTGTCTTCCCGTTGCTAAATGGTGCCCACAACCAGACCCTGCAGGCCCAGCCTTGCTGCCCCTCAGCCCCCCAAGAGCAGGGCCTGCCCTTCTGCAAGGCCCCTGCTGCTGCTGAGGCCCTGAGGGACAGACACAGCTTTTCGAGGCCCTGAGGGACAGACACAGCTTTTCGAGGCCCTGAGGGACAGACACAGCTTTTCCTGCTTCTGTCTGGAAGTGTCTGCCCACAGCTGCAGTGCTCTCCCAGCCCTGTGTGTGGACGTTGCCTGTGCACGACACCACCCCTGTGTGATATGCTGAGGAATTCTGATATTTGCAGGCCTGACAAGCCCAGAATTGCCCGGACAAAGGTTGGGGGGGCTGGTGGATCGGTGTGGCCACCCAGAGCTCGTGGGCAGAGCACATCTTTCACTGAAATCTCTGCTGAAACAATAGAAAAAAAAAATAAATTGCTGCTGCTGCGGCCTCCTCTTACACCTGCTGAGTGAGGCATTTCACCCTGACAGGGGTTTTATCTTTGTTAATCCATAGGCTCAGGAAGACAGCACTACATTCCTTACAAACCATCGATGCTTTGACGCCAAGGTAACTCTTTGGAAGAGCCTAAGGAAGAGCTGAGAAACTCCCACCACAGCAAGGTGGTGACAGTAGCAGGGAATTTTCCTTCTGTCACTTATGACGCAGCCAAAGGTGGCAAAAAATTAATAAGGAAAAGAAATGAACACTTGGGAAAAAAAATAAACAGCATAGAGAAGAGAGCAGAAGTCTTGACAATTTGTGCCCTGCTGCCAGTGTTCCCTGTGCCCAACAAACTGAGCAATCACTGGACAGGGCAGCTGAGCCCCTGCCTGAGCACCACAAGTGCTTTGGCTGGTACCCTTGTAAGACAATGGCAGTGGCAGGGACAGCAGGCAGGACAGCAGAAACCCTTCCTGCTCACCTTAATTCAATGAGCAGCTTTAAAAAATTGTTCTCCCTAAATCACTCACATAAAAGCAAATCAGGTGTTTGTCCAGAAAAAAAGGTATTGTCTAAATAACATTTGTTTTCTGGCCACAGATGAACCCAGTGTAAAAATGTTTGTAGAAAGTACATATTTTGAATGCTTGGATACAGAAAATGACAGGTGGTGTTGAATTTTTTTAAAGAAAAGACAATTTTCTTCTAGAGAGCTCACTTAGTAAAGGAGACACCAATTAGGTGTACAGAGAACACTGCAAAGTACTGCATTTGCTGAAAATGCACTTCTAGGCCAAACAGAACTACTTGTGAAGTTGAGTCAGAATTGGCAAAGAAAGATTCAGCCAAGTAATAAAAACCCAAAAAGGTTAATCTTCTTTATTCTGAGCTGTGCAAAAAATTTCCATTTTTTCATTTTGAAATAATTTATTCCTAATATGAGACTAAGATATTTTTCCAAAATGTGACATATCTAATGGAATATTCTTTCCCCTTGAGAATAACTCTATCCATTTTTTATGTCACTTTTGCTTTTATGTAATACAAAGTATACCTGTTTATTTCTCATTTTATCAAAACCCCTCAAACCCTAGCATTATTCAGCAGCTCTAACACCACCTCAAAGAAGCGTCTCACCCAGAGGTCAGCAGGTCCCACTCTGTCCTGGTGTCACAGGAGGCCAGCACAGATTTTTCCTGCTGAAGCTGCCAGGCAGGCAGGATGAGAGTGTGGCAGGACCCATGGGGGTGCAGCTGACAGAAACCCACCTGGGAAGTGCCAAGCACATGTCCTTGGTTAAGGAAAGACCATGTAAGTGAGGTAGGAGAGATCCTGCCACAAAAACCACTCAGAGGGAGAAACCTGTGTCCAGAAAGGGCACTCATGGTCACCCAAGGTGAGGTACAGCCCCCTGTAAATGTGCTCAGGCTGGGTGGAAGTGGAGCACTGACCAAGGCATTGCTGATAGACACAGGGAGACCAGGATTAGCCCAGCACTGTGTAACAAGTAAAACCAAGCTCTGCAGATCCTCTCTTGGACAGGGATGAGTATTTCCTGGCCCTGGCAGTATTTAGGGCCATCCCTAAGCAGGTGTCTGCCAGCTGAGCTCAGGGTGCCCCCAGGGACAGGTGAAACTCCAGCTGTGCACAAAAGGAGGGTCAGTGCATCCACTGATGGTGTGTGCATTTTGGTGGGGGAAGGCTGGCTGTCCTGGTGCTCCCATCAGGACAGAGGAGGCATTTCAGTGCTGGGATGAGTCTCAGAGGAGCAGTGTGAGGCTCTCAGCTTGGCACATGGGTTAGTGCTGGGCCACCAGACAGCACCAAGGAATAGGCAGTGTGTGACACCATTGGTCCCCTGGGGTGGGGACAGGGACAGGCCAGAGAGGGCAGCTGCAATTGGTGCCTAAACACTCCTGAGAGCATGCACTGCCACTCTTTTTTCTCTTGAAGAGGGAAAATCCAGTAGAAGACATGGAAAGCTTAAAAGAGATGGCATTTTGGGGAGTTTAAGTGATTATACATAGGAGCTCTGAACTTACTGCTGTTGGGAAGGAAAAAGAAAGAAGGCAATTATAACAAGCCCTTGGAGGCTTGAAGGACAGAATTTATCACAGCATAAAGCTATGTACAGGCATCCCTAAGAACTCAACATCAGAGCAATGGCAGATATGTGATACATACATCTGGGGCAAGACAGAAGAGACAGGGCAGGGATTTCTTTAAGGACACTCCATTGCTCCTCTGGTGGGCACTAAGCACCCAGAAACAACTGTCTGTGCCACAGCTATACACTGGCTTAATGTGCCACCATCAAACTCCATCTGTTTAATCAATGCAATCCCATGGAAACACTTCTCTTGCAATTTAAGAGTGGCTTAATACATTCCTAATGAACTGGATCTGTGATAGACCTGACTGAAGTGGAAAACAAAGATCTGGATTAAGCCAAATAATCTAATTTTTTCACGGTCTTTTGCATTCTTTTACCCAGCATCATGTTAAAAACAATTTATGTTAAAACAAAGAGAGAAGCTCTAAGATCACTCAGTAGTCAAAGGAAGATAGGGCAGAGTCCTTGGTGCAAAAGCAATGAAGCACTGGGAGGAGCAGGGCCCTGACTGCCAGTATTGCTTGCAGCTCCTAATTGTGTTATCCTGTGGCTCCCAGCTGATGCAGGGACCAAAAAGCAGCATGGGAGGAGAGGAGAAGCAGGATGAGCTGCCTTCTAAATTATGGTGTATATCTGACTTTCTATCAAATAAAAAGTCTAAAAATGGAGACTACTTGTGCACGACCACACACTTGCTGACGTCATTTTCAATTTTGAGAAGTCTGATCTAACCCCACATTATACAACTGTTGAATCTTCCATGCTGGCAAAGTCTAATTTTCACACGCCTACATGCTATGTACCTGATTTTTATTTTTATTTTTAAATATCAACAGCCTAAATAAATTTTTTTTTAAAAAAAGAGATGTCAATGGTCATAATGGTTACAAAATGCCCTAGCTTCACATCCATTGTTTCAAAGGAGTAAAAGCAAAAATACTCAACGTCCATTCTAAAAAACAGGCAATGAAAATAATGTAACAGTAACAGATGAAATGAAAATTCAAGGGACAGTTGCAGATCCTATCTCCACCTCGGGGATTTTATATTCATCTGCAAAAAAATATTCAATGCATGTTTCATCTGCAACCCACCTTTCTTTTAAAGGTCACTTTAATAACCAAGATGTGCCAAAAAAAGGAAAAAGCCCTGGAATTCCAAGAAAAGCATGGCCATTTTATATCAGTCCCTGCTGGCAAGCACTAAAACTGTCGTCTGAATCAAGCAAATTACAATGTCATGTACATACACAGAAGTACTTTCCTGAATTAATTAATTAATTAATTAAACACCCTCAAAACAGGTTATGGAGAAAGAAGAGAAAGAAACTGAAGAAAGTCCTAGGGGAAAGAGCCAGGTTTGGGCTGGATTCTCCTCTCTCACCCTTTTTACATCCCAGTCTGTGATGAACTGAACTTTCTTCTCACTGAAGGGCAGGGTATGACCTTGCATTTCTCAACACACTCTTAGAGCTGCTGAATAATCAGTTAAAGAATAAAAGAACATTTCTGCCTCTCGGGTTGAGGGGTTTTTTTCGTACAACCTAACTTGGTGACTAATTCCTACCCTACTGCCAGAGAACACAGAAATCCTAGGAAAGGACTTTGATTTCCCATGGCCATTGCCCTGCCAGTCTCTGGGCAGAAATTTGCTTCTGAGCAACACCTTCCAGTAACCTTATGATGCTTTTCAGATCCACGTCTCCTTCCTCACTGCTGCAGATCAACAACAATCAAGCTGCACACAGAAGGGCATGAGTCCTGTACAAACCAGCAACGTATCACTTTTAAAATAAATATCTGGTCCCCAGACTCAGGTGGGCATTTTTCAGAGATGCACATAATGATGGAACTACATGGGTTCAAAACTGAAGGCCAGAGAGAGGTGATGCTGCTAAGCAAGAGAAGCTGTTCTCACTGACTGGTGAGACACATGACTTCACGAGCTGAAACTCATTTCTGCATTGTTGACTTTGTGTTGTATGGGTCCAGGTAAGCACATGAAACCTCTATCAGAGGTTATCTGAAATCCACTGCATTTTTTGGCTGAATTGGGCCTGACTGACATGGTCCCTAAAGATACTGGTATCTGTGAGAAGTGATTCTCCTGACTGCAGCTCATCACAGGCACATTTTACAAACTGCAGGGGCTCCAGCTAATCTCTCTGCTCCACCACGGAATAAAGTCAATTCTGCTAAGAGTGCTGATAGTCCGACAAGAAAATTACTTCTTTTCTGTTTCTATGGTTGCAACAGCCCTTAAGAAAGATATAAATTTCCCTGCAACAACTAACTGCATATTCATTTTAAGGTAGATCTAGTTCCAGATTCCTGAGACAGAACCCTCTACCTGTTCCCAACCCCACAAAGCCAGAGCAGCAATATAGAAAGTTTCTAATCGCAATAGAATTCAGTGAGCAGCATGATTGGTTTGGTAAATAAACAAACAAAAAAAAAGAAACCCACCAAAAAAACCCACAGCAAATTTTCAGCCTCTATGTACAAAACCAATGCAAACAAGTGGAACATTCTAGTTATATTTTGTAAAACACACGTTTGGGATCAACAAAACATCAAACATCCAGACCCTAGATTACAAAAAAGATCTATTGCCATCTAATTGTCAACCCCAAGTTTAGACAGTCCTTGTCGAAAATCGTGTAATTCATCTATCTTCCCGTCTAGTACATCTAAAAAATTCTTTAATTCAGTTTTAAGGTTCGTCTGCCTATGTTTGTTCTCTTCGACTTCTGTCCTTAGCGTTCTGACTTTCTCTTCAAGATCTTTGTTCTTTTTCTCAGCAGCCTTAAAGACAAAAGAGACAATAACATGAATCATAGAGAAGGGTGAGCAGCATTTCATAAATTAAAGCAACAAATGGCAGCTGGGCTGTGAGAGTTTGCTCCAACTTCTGTAAAGTGATTAACACAAGCACCTCTGAGAGCAACTGACAAGAGCATGTCAGATTAAAAGCCCACGAAGGAAAGGACCCAGATTAACTGGAAAAGATGCTTTGCATCAGACTTTGTCATTTGGTTGATATCTTCAAATTCAGCTGGATTTAAATCATGAACTGTGCATACATTTGTGTCACTGCTACAGCTGCAGAATTAGACACTGTGCCATCAATTACATACAGAATTATCTACGGTGGTTTAACCTTGAAAAACAAACTTAGGAAATACTGTCTGAGGAATAAAGTTGCTTTATTCAGCACTTTGGGATTTATTGGTACTTTTTAAAAAATTCTACTTTGCCTGATGGCTTATTTATCGATTGGATTTTACTTCATTGATGAGACTGCTCATTTGTGTTCTCTTTTCATGTATTAAATGATTGCATTTCCACAAGAGCCGACTCAAGGAGGCGATGCCCAAAGTCCAGCTGCTGCCTGGGGCAGAGCCCCCGAGAGCTGCTGGAAAGGGATGTCACAGCACAGGGACACATCCCCAGGTGAAGTTTTTTACCCTGGTGCTGAGCAGCTATGCTCATCTGCTTCTTTCCCAAAGCCTGCCCTACTGCCAGTGCAGCAATTATACCCCCCAGTTACCCCCAGGTCTTGGGGAGCTGCTCGACACACATGGCAGTGGTGCAGCTCCACAAGCCCAGAGCAGAAACATGGGACACAGGACTGCCTGGAATTGCAGAAGAGGGATGCTACATGATCCCAGGCAAACCAATTTCTGCAGTGGAGCTATTTCAGCACTCCTGTGCTGGGAATGGCACTGTGTATTTTGCATGTAATTAGCATTTTTTGTTTTTACAAACTGGACCTCTCTTGGCTTGAAACACTGAAGTCTGAATAGAGAAATTCATACAGTACAAGAAAAAAAAGACAAGGAAAGGTACCAACTATTTTGAAACTAATTTCACTGCTAACTGTACCTGTAATTGTTCAGATACAGATTCACATTCTGACATTAGCTCTGGTATAATTTCACCCTGCTTTCGGAGCTCTTCCAGTTCCTTTGAAAACATAAAAGAAAAAATATTAGTGCAAGCTTCAATTTAAAACATAATGAAAATTTGAAAAGATGAAATGGCTTTGCATATTTTACTGTATTCTGCACAGTATTTGGATGGAAAATAATCAAAATAACCTGCCTGCATTCCAAAATTGCTAATTTTCTACAAGAATACATTTTTCACTAAATTTCTTACTTTGCATTTCTAAAACAGGCAATGTAATCCCATCTCTTGCATGAATTCCATGAATTATATTAATAAAATCTTCACCTAAACCATGTAACTATTCAAAAGATGTATTAAATACCAGAGAAATCTGAATGGCTGTAATGCTACAAGCAATTTACAGATGGTAGCAAAGAGCAAATTAGACAATTTCAATGACATAAGACAGCAAACAAAAAAAAAGGCCAGTGGCTTTACCAGCTGCACATACAGACACATCATTACAGAACACAGGTGTCATGGGCTTTCCTTCATGGAAAGCTCTGAGAACCACCACCTTCCCCTTCCCCCAAAATCTGTATTTGGTTCTGGCCTCACTACCCAAACTGAGCAGACTTGATGAAGGGAGTTAATGTAAAGAGCAACAGTAGGAATTCATATCTCTGTTGGAAACTAAGACAACTTGAAAAAACCTGCAATATCCTCCTCAGAAACTTCCCATGTAGGTGATGATCTCCAGAGAATGCAGGGGTGTACCCCTGGACTACCTGGACTTGTGCAAAGCATTTGGCACTGCTCCACACAGGAGCCTTGTCTCAAAATCAGAGAGATGTGGAATTGGGGGAGGAGCCACTTGGTGGACAAGCACAAGGAGGGTATCAGCAGCTTTTCTTACATGGCAATGCCATGAGCACACTTCATGTGGGTTTGGATTCCAGACCATGAAAGATTACTTACGGGTAGTTTAAAGCTAATTGAGAACATGCTGATGGAAGCATGAATTTTTAAAACAAGTTAGTATATTTTCAGTGTAAATGGAAGACAGGCTTGTAAGATTCACAAGTCGATCAATTTTCTGGTTCATTTGGTACAGTAAAAATGTGAATCTTGAGGAGAATTCTAGGAGACAATAAGGGCTGTTCTACATGCTATTCTCACAGAAAGGCTGGAAAGACAGCATTACAATTTCTTTTGAAATAAAGGGCTGGAAACCACTATATTTATGACAGTGTATCAAAATCCATCTCCCTAAACTATTTCCTTCCACCACCACACAACCCCTTAACAGCAGAGCTTTTAAGAGCAGCAGAGATTACGGAGATGCTGTAATGGCACATGGCAAACTTTCCTGCACTGCTTTTCCTCTTCAGCCAGCACACAGCATTTGGTCAGTGTGACAATGCAAAAAAGAGAGCTTAGGATTTTCCCACTCTTCTGGGGTTCCAAGCCATCATCTCCTTAGAAAAATTAACACCCTGTAATGTCAAAAATGACAAACTGGGGTACTCTAGATGAATCTGAATTTCTCACTCCTGGCTTTAGTCCTGAGATCAAAGTGAGCCCATTAACCAGCAAAGCTGCAAATTATAAGCCATCCAGAAAAGAAACAGGGCTTGTTACATAAATGCCAAATTATTTTCTAAATGATGTCTTTTTAATGACAATCCTGATGTCTACAGAATTTTTGGCACGAGGAGAGTCAAATAAATCTGTTCTCAGCACACATCTGTCTGGCACTGGGCACCAAGCTTCACCACTGGCTCTTCTACAAGGACAAGTGTTGTGTACATAAAAGCATCCTTCTCTAACCCCTGCCAAATTACAGCGTGCAGCCACAGCACAAAACACATCATGAAATTTGGATGGAGAAACATTAGCAAACAAGGGACTGTACGTGGAAAACCTAGAAACAGCAATACCCCAAGACATCAGGCTGCTTCTGGTGGTAGGTGTGCCACTCCATAAATCTACACCCAAGGAGAGAAGCAGGCAGGCCCACTCAAACATGAAAATGCCATTTCTGTGTTCAGGGCACTCACCAGCTCTTTGTCCTGAAGTTCTGTTTCCAGTTCCTGAAGACGTCTACTCAGCTGTGCATTTCTTTCCTTTTCTTTATTTATTTCATTGCACTGTTCCTCCAGTTCTTCAATCTTTAAGGAATGTCAGACATTAGGTGAAATTTTTCAAATTTCTGAAAATCTGGGGCAGAACACAGCTAATGAAATGGACATGGGATCTGCTTCCAAAATCATAGCATTTGATTCACTGCAACCAAATTATCACTTCTTTCCTTCAAAAGAGTCAATTTACACATCCACTAGGAAACCCTGGGTCTGTATTTATTCTCTCTTACAGTCTCTCTTGTAAGTACTCAGGAATGCACAAAACACTGAGCTGCTAAAATAAGTGGAACTGGGGATAAAATCTGCACTTCACTCATCTGAAGCCAACACAAGGCTACAAGGAATGGATTTTCTTAACACATTAGGAGAAGAAATCTCTTGGGGGTTGCTTATTATTCCAGCTGATGTATGAGGGGCACAACATCAAAACTTTGGGGGGAGAACCAGTTCAGAGCAACATCTGCTGCTTTGTTCTCTCACCCAGGGATGTGCTTTGCTCTCTCCAAACCTCCTGCTGCCAGCTCTGGACTCAGCTCCCAGGAGATGCACTTCCCACAGGCCAATGGACCAGCTCATTAAAGAACGTACTTTAATTCTCAGCTTTGTGTTGCTTTGGGATTAAAACTTCCCTCATTTGAAGGTAGAGTGATATGCAAAAAATTCTGACCCAATTAATAAAGGAGAAGGAACTTCCCAGGGCACTGCAGTGGTGCAATGTGAGCACTGAGCAAGGAACCTACTTGGGGAAAAAACCTCAGAAAACCTCCCTGTACAGAGAAAGACAGCACATTATACAGACAGCACTGCTGCACAGTCTGGCTGGTCACCAGCATGGGGACTTTGAAGAGGCAGTAAGAGCAGTGGTGTTTTAATAATCTCCTCTTTTCTAGTACAGCTACTGGGATGTGGCATGTGTTGATGAGAACAACTTTTCCCTGCAACAGTACAGAAAGGGAAATAACTACCCTGCAAATGATGATATTTTCCCATAACACACTGTTCCAGTCTCACTTGTCCCTTATCCACAAGAGACTGGATATAGGAACACAAATCGTGTAACAACTAATATTAATTTGTTAATGTAACATCAGTTAATACAGCTCTGGTTTGATCTCTGCATTACCACTGTGCACCCATAAAACATGAGTAAATAAACAGTGAGTATTGGCCTCAGAAAAAAGGGCGTTGTTCCACAAGGATTTTCAGTGCCAACAAACAACCCAAACCCCCTCCAACAGCGAAATACTACTTGCAGCCTATGACACACGAAAAGACATAAAATTCCTTCCCTCTTCAAAAGCAAACACTAAACAAAAAAAATATCCTCACCAGACTGATACAATCTGATCTCTATTTCAAATGCCCTAATGATCCATCTAAGCAGCAGGAAAAGGATCCAGCTTCTCCAAAAGCATTTAGGATGAATGGGGGAAAACATCCCTGCAAAAGCAGTGCTCATGGAAACCAGGATGCCCTGTGCCCACAGGGGCTGCTGCAGATAGCACAGTATTATCTCGGAGATGGTACTACTGACTGCTCTAAACCTCCACAGATTTCGGAGTTGCTCTCTGCTGTAGCCATTGCTGACCCTCCATCTTACACAACCGAGAGATGTTCTCAGTAGTGCAGGGGAAAAGGCTTTTGATGATGCCTGTTGGCAAGTTTCTGCATGAGATGTGCCAGGTGTTAGCGCTGGAGGTCCCAGCTCACAGCCCACAGTGCTGAGGAAATAACTCACATCCTCATTCCCCTGCACACTGCTGGGATTTGCTTCTAATCCTGAGTGGTTCCCAGGCTGGGTTCTTGTGTGTAACCAGGTCACAACCTCTCCTTCTGCTCATCCATATCAGGCAGTATTTAAGCGAGCTTTGACAGGGATATGCAACAGCAGTCCCACTTTTAGAACCTTTCTTGTTCCTCACCCCAGCCAGCAAGCCCTGCTGACACCAAGTCTCCCAAATCCTGATGCAGGGAGCTTCAGCTGATGCAGCAGCTCCTCTGCTCCCTCCCAGCCTGCTGTGTGCAGAGGGGAGCAGCTGCCTGAGCTCCCCATCCACCTCCCTTTCAAGGCCAGCTCCATCTGCTAACACACGCAGTGAGAAAGCTGCAGAGATCCCAGAGGAAGAGCCCTGCTGGGAGCAGCTGGCTGCAGGGGCAGCTCTCCTGTGGGTATGTTCTCTACCTTGCCCCTCAGCTGGTCGTTCTCCTCCTTGCAGGCTGAGAACTGCTTCTTCCAGTGCTCGATGCTGGCCGCCGACTCCTGCAGGGCTGTGGAGAGCCGCGCGTTGCTCTCCCGCAGCGACTGCAGCTCCGTCTCCCACTTCTTCACGTTGGATGAACTGGGAAAAACAGGATACCATGAGGTGGTTTCACCTTGTGCTCCCGTGAGTGGTTATCCTTTACCTGCCTGCAAACTCCCCCATTAATTTGCTGCAATAAGAGGCAGAGCACTCAGATGTGTGTAATTGCCTTTAGCCATCACATTCCTACAGAGAACAAAAGCCTTAATTTGACTGTCTCTGTCAAAACAAAGGGATCCACCAAGCCCAGCAGCAGTGGCCTGTGTCTGGAACTAAAGCCCTGCTGTCAGAGCAGGCCGTAGGGTCCAGCTGCCCACTTGCACACAGGGGTCTCACCCTGGCACTGCATGGTCCCTGGCACCTCCTGAGCTGGGTGGCTGCAGCACCTGGGGCTGGGCACCTGGCAGCCCTGCAGCACAGCCACTCTGCACATCTGCAGATGGCACAGCTATTCCAAATGGAAGATTTCAGGGGGTTGACACGATCTATATTTGAATTTATTTTAATGCTGAGTCTTAACTATAAAAGTGTTACATAATGCTGCAGAATTAAACTACTCATTCCCCAAAGCTTTGAGCTGCAGCACAGAGCACAAGATTAGAGGGTGAACGGGAGGAAGGCTTTGAAACTCCCTGTGTGCTACTTGCTGCCTGCCTGTGGAGGTGTCTTCAGCAAGAGGAATGAGCTCACATTACTGTTTGAAGCAGGTTAAGCTACTGAAATGCCAATAAAGAGAGAAGTTGTACTTCAAACATAATATATGCAACCTTGGAATTGCTCACTGGATAATGCTGCTCACAGTGATACTTTGTTTTTTAAATACCTTTTTAAGAGTAGCTTGATCTTGTTAGATTTTCTTTCCATTCACAGATACACATTCACATGCAAGAGGCAGACAAGGCAAGATCCCAATAGAGAATTACTCTATTTTAATGTTGGAACTTTGCATATTGCAACGCCTGTATTTTCACTACAGCTGCAAATTACTCTTCTCAGCATTTTCAAATTATTTATCAAAGCAAATAGCAAAAAATATGATTTCAAGGGGCTCTGTCCACAATTTAGAAATATCCCCTAAGACTTCCAAGTGCTCTGATGAAATTATACTTCTCACTTCAACTTTTTATGGTTGAGTTCATTCCCTTTCATAATTTTAAATATCCATATCTATTTTCATCAAAGTAAGTGTAGCAAACTCAAAGAAAGATTGGCTTCACATGTTATCAGCAGCAATTGCTCCCCTATGGCTTTAATGTTATTTCTGTAGCTCTAAAACTTCCTGAAAGAAGATGGTTATAATAGTTGGCATCAGCAGAATGAAAGAGGGCTTATTTCTTCACAAACTACACCAGGAATAAATGAAATGGGAAATATTTCTCAACTGGATACCAGGAGATACTTGCTAAAATCTGTTCATTCATCCATTCTGCGGCACCATTTAAAATTAATTACAATCTGAATAATTTCTGTTAATATCATTATCCATCAGATAATTACAGCACACTTTCCCAATGCAATTTAGGTTCTACAGGAACTTCACCTTTGGGCTAGAGCAAATTTTAATTTATCATTCTCAGATTTGAGATGTGCCTCAGCAGGGCCACCATGTGATGCCTTCTCGTCGTCTGTGCCATTCACGCTTGAAGCTCGAGTGGAAGATGGTGTTTCACGTCCAGACTCCTGCAGCACAACACACAAACGAACACTGGGTGTCTCCTGCATCTCCTGCAAGACCACAACACCAATTTCTTTGTAATCTTGATCCCACACCACTTGGCTGAGACCTCGGCTCTCCTGGCAGAGCAGTGGTAACACACACATACCCTTTTCATCTTGGCTGCAAAGCTGGTCTGTTTAAAAAGAATGAAAAAATTACAATGATACACAAATGGAAGTTTAAAGTGTTCAAAACTTTAAAAAAGTTTTTTCCCTGATAAGCCTTGTGTTTTTCAAAAGTTGTTTGGTTTTTTTTAAGATAATGAAACAATACAACACACAAAGTACAAACAAACAAAAATAGTTCTGCTCCTCCAAAGACATACTATTCACACACAGCTTGGTGCTGACCACCAACAGAGAACAAAGTGAACTACAAAGACCATGGCCAAAGTCTTTACAAAATGAGTATCCACAGTCAGCCACTCAGATTGATATTTGTGGGTCCCACAAATGGGGGTGGTTGCAAGACTAAAACCGTTCAGCAGCTTTTTCTGATCATTCATCTGAATTCTTCTCTGATCAAAACCTGCCTAACTTTCCTCCAGACATTAGCCCAGGCCAGGAACACCAGCTGAGCAGGGTTCACTCCCACCTAAAGCAATGCACACAAAAATACAGCCAATCCTGCAGAGAGCCTGGGACAACACTCAGTTTCTCCAGCCTGCAGGAAACGCAGCCCTCGCTGGGCACTGGGGGCACCAGCTGTGCTGCCCAGGAGAGGCTACTGTGCAGATCCACAAGACAGGCTTCTTCACACCCCCTAAAACCCCCTTAAACTTCTTCCAAACCCCCTAAAACGCCCACACCACAGCTGCCCAGGGAACACTGGACAAAGTCGGGCAAACCAAATGCCCCAGAAGTGGGCTGGACAGATGACAAAGAAGGATATTGATGGATCTCATTTACTGTCTGCTGGAGCACTACACTGACTGACTTCCCAGTGACTCAAACTGTGTTTAACAGTACAAATCAAAGGATGTATAGCTTTCCCTGTTATTAAAAAAGTTGTAGAAGCTCAAGGACTGCTGAAAAAATTAGATTTAAATGAAAGTAAAGAGTGTGGACAGAAGAAAAATATTCCTCTGACAATGCTAATGTCCAGCAGCTGACAATTACCTTCAGCAATCTCCATTTTATATACTTTAAGCTGGCTGCCAGAAGCTGGCACAGTCCATTTGAAAATTCAACTTTAAATTATTTATCCTGTATGTGTACAGGTATTAAAGCCAAATTACAAACCTGTGAATGATTGCTTGAGGTTTCAATTTTCTCTTGAGATCTGTCTCTTGCAAGTTTGGCAGCTTCTTTTACTTCTTGGAACTTCTCTGCAAACTAGAAAAAGCATGAAAGACATTTATTAACATGATTTATCTTCTATTAAACCATTAAGATTGCTACCTTCTTATGGTATAGATGTCCAAAAGTGAACAACTAATTTTATTAATTTAGAATTTTTGGCAAGAAAAAACATTTTCATTCTTTGGCAGGATAGTTCTTCCAAAAGAAGTGGGGGTGTTTCTGAAAAAGGAGCATCTCTGTAACTCTAGCCAACCACAGTAAAAGACCATGGAGGAAAAGGAACTGTTGGTGTCTCCTGGTTTGATTTGGTTCTGTTTATTTCCTCCCCCTTCTCTGTTTCCCTTGCTGTTGACAGTGTATTAAGGACAAGTGTATTAAAGACATATGTTTGGATAAAAATAGTACCAATGTCTTCTATTCCTAAGAGCAAGTGAATTCAATTAAAGAATGCAAATAAGTTCATCTGCAGGAGGTAAGCAAGGGATTATCAAGACATAGGAAAAAGGAGAAGAAGGTAGATCTCAATGTATGATGGAGTTGTACAAAACCACAGCTTTTCTGCTCTAATTTTCTCATTACTTCCAAAAATAAAGGTAGAAGATTTCAGATAAAGGCCTGAATGCTTCCTGTAAGAGGGATATATCAAACTGGGAGAGGTGAGGGAAAGATAAAGATGGAAGGTAACAATCCCAACCTCTGTGAGTTGCTGTAGGACATCTGTTCCAAAGCCAGCCTGGCATTTTTGGAATACAAGTGTTATCACAGCCAGTCAGGGTTGCACGGCTTCAAACACTTTAAACAGTGTTTAAAATTTTAAAAGGAGGATTACAAAGATGGAAAAAAAGGTATAACACATAATTTGTTTTTAAAATTATGATGTATCCACTGTAAGAATTGGTAACTTTATATTTCAGCAAAAACTGCTAGGTCTTGCTTGCCTCTGTTTTGAGAAACTTGAAATGCTAGAAAGGCAAGACATTTTAAAAGTAAAAATATAAACAGATGTATTCATTGCAGTTTGTGACAAAAGGATTGCCATTATACCCTTGGATAATGCAGAACACTTATGAAAATCTGTAAATAAAAGCATGAAAAAAAATCCAAATTTAAAGTTGAAGAATAGAAAGAAACATTCACTTAGCAATCTTGCCTTCTAACTTTGCATTTACAGCAGGTATTTAGCATGCTCTCTCAGTATGTAGAGACCAATTAAACAAAATTTCTCCATTTGGTCTAAAAGAAATCTGGATTTACATGTGTAACACACAAAAATGGCAATTTCCAACACACACACAGATCATGGTTAACCCCAGGGACGAGCACCTTCTGGAAGGTGGGTGATGCTCTGGGTGCACCCTGTGCTGTGTGGAGAGGATGCAGCTCTGGGATCCAGCTGCTCCTGCACCACAGCTGCCATTGCACATGCAGGGCGTGTGCCCTGGGATGGCAGCAGCTCCAGCTGATGGCATTGCAGTCACTACACGCACAAATGACTTGATTACCTCTCCAGCACTCCACAGATCGTTAGGAACAGCCACATTACATTCGTGCCTTTAGTGATTGAACTCTAACTTTACACAAAGCATCTCTCCCGCTGTGACAGAGCAGCTATAACCAGCTGATTATTTCTAAAATATTATATCAACAGTAAGTTCCACATTTGTGTTTCTTGTGGATAGTGCAAGGCTGTTTTGAGTCTGTCTTTTATAATAAATCTTTCTCTTTTATGACAAATCTCTTCATCTTATGTATGAAAAATTTATGAGGGTTCTTCATGGATGATACGAAATATGAACAGACAAAAAGAATTGGAAGTGATCTATCAAATTTTATTTTGCAGCTATCTTCGTAAAGCACACAGGAGACTGCTGTGAAAAATTATGTGAGCTGAGAAGAAAAGGACATTTTTCCACATTTCCATAATAAAAAATTGCATATGATTGAGCAACGCTTATCTTCAATACTAACCCAATAATGACCTCATTGCATAAACGATATCAGCCATGTCTCTAGTTCACCAACACATGTATTAAACACATTTGCATTTAGAAAGTGATTGCTGCTCTGAGAGGGGCAGTGCCAGCCCCAGCTCTGCAGCACTGCAACACCCACTGCACAGGAGCAGAGCAGGAGGTTCTGGAGCCACTGTCAGACAGTGTGGCACAGCCACAGGGCCAAATCACCAGGAGAAATCAGATTTCCCTCTAGTAACCAACTGCTTCTGCCCCAAACACAAATAAGTGATAATTGGTATCACAAAATCCTGCTCAACCTCCAAGGTCTAAGTTGACTTTGAGCCATCAAACCATTACAAAAAAAGGGAGCAGTTAATGAATGTAAAATTCCTAATAAAAAGTGTGTTCAGTAAATGAAAACTTGTTAACTGTGGTCTCGAGGGGCAATGAAAATCTAAATACCCAAAACGAACTACAATAATTCATCATGTTTCCTCTCCTTAGGTCCATGCTTCCCATCTGGCAAAGATCCCAAAATCAGAAAAAGAAAACCCCACAAAAACTGGAATAGGAGAGTTGCCAAGTGAATACCACCCCAACAGTCCATCATGGATTATAGGACATGCCTTCCCACGCCCCAGGAAGCTGTGTGACTAAGCTGCAACACAGGGAAGATTTGCTGCTACCAACACTTGTGAAGCCTTTTGGTCAGGCAGCTGCAGCCATGAGCACTGCTTGATTAGGAGCCTTGGCCAGTGAAATTTAATGGGGACTCGAGGATGCTACTGTGCATCGCACAAATTATTTAAAGGCTGCTCAAATCCACAGTCAGTTTGTCACCAGGAGAAATATATATATATATATATATATTCAAATAGGGGTCCTTAGCATTTTATACCTTAAAAACCATGATTTTTTTATGCATAAATTTTAAGCTCCTGGTCTGGCATTATATTTTATGTCTCCTACTGACAAATTGTGCCAGTATCAGATGAAACAGCTGCTCCCACCCAAAGCAGGCTCATAAATATTTCATCTCCCTCTGGGTTTGCAGCAGGCTGGGTGATGTGACAGCCCTGGGGAGCACTGCTGTGCCCTGACCCACAGCACACAGGGGCTTTTCCCGTGGCTCTCCTGGGATGAGCCCTCAGCACGGGGCAGAGGGGCTCCCAACAAGACTATTTACCCCAGGAAGTGCCCAGGAATTTGGTCTGTCCCAGCCCTGATGCCAGCTGCTCCAGTGGCTGTGCTGTGTGCTGGGGCAGGGCAGGCTCTGCCCCGAGCTCGCTGCCCTGCAATGCAGTGACTGGCACACATAACGTGCAGGAGTGCAGAGAAATAAAGTCCAGGGCTTCCCAGGGGCCAGAGGCAGCTGTTTTATGATGTGCAAAGTCTGGCTTTACTGGGTTTCTCACCCGTATAAATCTTTGTCCCTATGCCCTTGACTACCTGCAGCTCCTCGTATATAGCACGGCTGCCTCAAAGCGCCCTGAAGGACAGCAGGAGCCTTCCTTAACCCCTTGGTGTGCAAAACTCAGCAGCACCCGTGCAGCACCAGCCCTGCCTTCCCACCCCCCCACACACGGTCCTTTCTGGGATTCCTGCCTCAGCTGGGCTGAAGCAACATTTGAACGATGCCTTGAGACCTTTCTGAGGCCCAGGGGAGGGAAAGGAGGGTCAGCGAGTCCTGCACAAGGGGAACAGCACCCTGAGAAGGACATCAGCTCTAAGCCCTGGGATTCTCCCAATCAATGGGAATGGTAATTAGGTTACTGGGTCACAGAATGCAGTTTTCATTAACGGCTCATGTTTAATTTGAACTGCTTTTCCCTACAGGTATGGATTAATGCTTTAAGTATCTCAAGAGAAGCAAAGCATTAGAATGAGGCAATATCTTTTATTAGGCCAAGCAATACACTTAAAAATGCAGGCATTTTTAGGCATGCTAACCTCTTCTCCTGCCTCATTATTTTCTGCTGCTTTCAACTGACATTTTTCAGCTTTATTTATTTATATTTATTTTAAGCCAGGGCTATTGATCTCTGGTTTAGGGGGTTTTAGTGTGCCCTTCCAATTCCTGACTAAGCACTTCAATTATTTCCTCTAAAATAGGCAAGCTTTAATTTATATCTCTTATAAGAGCATAATGATATTAATATAAAATGAAACTTGATTTTACTATTCCCAGTACACCTATATAGCTGTAATCTCACTCTCAACTCTGCTCTTTCTTACTAATGGCTCAATAATTAAACTGAGAAGCACAGACAATGAAGAAGTATCTTTGTCCCATTGCTTTGCATGGTGATAATAAACCAGGTTTTCTTATATTTTTCAGCTAGGTAATGTCAGACTTTTGGTTGTTTTTCTTTTTTAAAAAATCAACTCAAGCTATTTTTAGAAGCAGCCCCTTTAAGCTCCCTCTCAATATTCTGACCAAAATAAGTCTTTCTGCTGATTTGGAAAGCCTTTCATGCAAGTAGAAGGTTGTATTTTGGGCAGTGGGCTCTTCAGCAGATCATGCAGTGCAAACAAATGAACCAAGTGAGCTGGGAAGAAGCACAGCTGGGCTGGTGCCCCTGTACATGACATGTTATTCACACTGCCTCTAGACCTGCCACGTGAACATGACAAGCTGATACCAGCAATGCATTTCTTCTGAGTGGGTTTGATAAGGTCTGCAGAACACGGTAAAATTTCTCTGATTAGGGTGCAAGGTCCTCCAAATGTACCTCCTGCCTTCCTATAGTGAACCCAGTGCCTTATTTTATTATTTGCCTCTCTTCTCCTGAGCCAGACCCAGCACCACCTGCTCCATGTGGCACAAGGTGCATGTTTAGCCCCAGTCTGCCACTGAGGCACCCTGGGGTCTTGTGTCATGATACAGAGGTGTAACTTCAGTAATCCAGGATTAAAAACTACTAGCCAGAGGTGCTAATTCTCCCATTCAGTGTTCAAAGGCTGCATTGTATCATGGTTATCTGTTACTCAAAAAAATTATTCCTCTAGGTCTTTTAATCCTTCTCTATTCCCACACATCTTATTAGCTGCTATGAACACCTCTGCCTCAGGAGTGAAGAAAATGCATAGGTGAAATGAGCAGTCCTGTACACCTAAGTAAGCATCATAAAACATATCCATCCCCAACAACTCATTTTTAAACAAGCTTTGCACATCATGCCTTTATCATCTCTGAAGAACAGACTAATGTCATGGCACTTTCATGGGCATTCCATGTCCAAAAATAATTTAACATATGAAAAGTAAAATAACTTTTATTTTTAAGAAACACTTGCAAAAATGCAATTCTCTAGAAATTGGAAAAACTAATTAAGACAGACTTACTAAAATAAATTCCTATAAATTCCTATCGCTTGATAGGCAATTCCTTCTAGTGCAGTGCTCTGCCTTTGCTGTTTTAGACACCACAAGAAACACCTTCTTCTCCTGATCCTTTTCTTATTAAAGCACAGGAGAGGACAGCAACCTGAGAGGCTGTGGCATGCCCAAGGACACCCTGCTGAGGTCACTTTTGGAGCCCAGTGCCAAGCAGCCAATGCCTCAGGAGTCAAGTATGTGTGAGATAAGTAGGGCTTTTTACCACACGAACAAACAATCATCTCAGCTGCCTGATAAGCACTTGTCAAGACCACCACTTCAATGACAGAGGAGTATTTTCAGGTGCTGGTTATTCACAACAAGAGGCTGCTCTAGCCTTTACAAGCCTGCTCATGTACCCAGTCCCTAGTCCAGGGAAGTGTTTCATTCATACCAAACTCAGGATGAGGGGTTTGCTGCTAATGCAGAGGCAGCTTTGTCAGCAAGCCTGACATCAGCTCTCCCTGGCTACTCATCCCCTGCCAGCAGCAGCAGTGAGGGCAGCGTGTGCCACCCACAGGCAGTGGCAGTTCCAGAGATGGCAATTCTGGTAATTCCAGAGATGGCAGTTCTGGTAATTCCAGAGATGGAAATTCTGGTAATTCCAGAGATGGAAATTCTGGTAATTCCAGAAATGGAAATTCTGGTAATTCCAGAGGTGTTAACTCTGGTAATTCCAGAGACAGTAACTCTGCTAATTCCAGAGATGGCAATTCTGGCAACTCCAGAGCTGAGAGACCTGCATTGCTGAGGAGACCTGCAGTAACACAGAGGTTGGAGATGTGCCAGGCTGCATTACCAAGAAGCAGGAGAGCCTTGGCAGCCATGCAGTGAGCCCTGTTACCTTTGTCAGCTGCTGCTCAGAGGGGAAGCCCAGCCCGAACACGGTGTTGGCTCTGCTGTCTGCCCACTGCCCAAACTTCTGTGACGTTTTGGTGAAGGTCATGTTGGGGGTGATGGTGCTGTTTATGATCACCTGGTCACAGACAGAGCAGGAAAAAAAAAGAATAAAAACGTGCAAGTCACATCGGAAATGCATATCCTAGCAACGGTATCATCCAAAGCAATTAGCAGTCTAAATTGGGAAATTGCTGTGTTTAGAAGATTTTTCGTTCCAAAATAAAACAGTTGTTTTCTTGTCTTCATTCTTGCAGGAGTTCTGATGCTTTGTCTTATTTTTCAAAGTACCATCACAGCCCTGCAGTTAAACGTGGCTGCAGGAACATCACTGAACTCAAAGCAGGGTCAGGAGGCACAAAACTGCCCTGGCAGAAAGGCAGATGCAAAATCCTTTTATTTTGCATTAGGAAGCCACACAGCCACTGCCCCAGGAGGTGCCTACTTGAGCCCTCCAAGCAGGGCATCCCCCAGTAACACCTGAACTCAGACCTGAAGGGCAGAGAGATATTTCTGCATTTTTCCATTTGTCTCAGGCCTCCACAAGTAGGATGCCAGAGACATGTCAGAAGTTTCAAACAAAGCCAGACAGTAAAAAGCAAGACAAGGAGAAGCTGATAGCTTAACAGGGAGTTTAACTTGGGAGGGTGGTGAAGTGCATCACATGCAGTATCAAATTTGGGCCTTGGAACAAATACATGTTAACTAATATCTGCTTCACCAGCAACCCTAAAAGCAACAGTGGTTCTTGTAACTAAAGAAATAGCCAACAAGAGGAAGGCTGGTGGATGAAGTCTCTGAGGAACTTAATGGAGCAAATATAAAATGTAATCTTGCTAAGAGGAATGAGTTATATGGTAGTTCATTATCAAAAATCTTAACTTTATTTTCAAGATACATCATTATATTAGTCTAGCGACTTCTTCCCCTGGAAATTAATTCATGTACAATGTTCTTTCTGCTAGCAGAACAAGAGCTGTCTTTAGTAATGCGTACCATCATTTCCAAAATGCAAATTATGCACTAATTAAGCCCAATCTGTGGGACAGTTTAATTAACATGATCAGGAAGTATCCTGGCAACATCATTTACTATGTATTCCAAGCAGTTTTTTTCCTAAGCTATCATTTACATTTAGCAAAAAGTGTGAATTAAATTTACCAGAGGAAGATCCTCACTTGCTTCCATCCCCTCCCTGACTTCAGACCACTGTGCTGACACTTTCATTTGCTTTCTTAAAAATTGCTCAACTTATTTCCCTCCTTTTGCATCATCACTTTCAAACAAACCTATGATTTTCTGCCATTCCCCATCACTGGAAGTTTCTCCAGAATCAAGACAGAGGAGAGCCAGGTGAGTGGTACCCCTGAAACTGTCCTTTGCATGGGAACAAACAGAGCAAGAAAGGGGGAGAGGTGACCCTGCAACCAGCACAGGTCAGCATCAACAACACAGAATCAGGGGCTGCTCCATCCCTGGAGTGTCCAAGGCCAGTTTGGATGGGGCTCTGAGCAGCCTGGTCTGTGGAAGGTGTCCCTGCCCATGGCAGGGGAGCTGGAACACAATGATCATTCCCTTCCAGCCCAAACCACTTTTTCATCAGCTCTCAGGGTCACACATCTCCTTGAGGGGCCAGTGCACAGCAGAGGTAGGAGCAAAGCTGCCCAGATGTGTTCTCCTCCAGCTAAGTTGTGCCACAGGAACAGCCAACATAAAATCTAAATGTCATTTCAGTAATGTAAATTAAAAGAAAATCAGAGATTTTATGTAGGGGTTTGACAATGCAAAGGGACTGTGATAATACAAGGACTGTATGGTACAGAGAGCCAAAAGAACAGGAGGAAAAGCTACCACCAACCCCAAAATTCAGGGTGCTTTCCAGAAACTTTAAAGTGCTATATGTATCTTTCTGTTTTTAAAAAATCTTACATCAGACAGATGAACCACTTGCAAATGTCTAGCTTCTCAAGTTACAGAATTTATTTTAAAAACTAAAAACTTCCCAGAAATTTCAAGTCATAGAAAGTATTATTTCAGTCCTGCTGTGCCTATCAACTTTGAGATCTGGGGGAAAAAAATAATACAGTGACCAGTTTGACTGAAAGGCAAAAGCTTCACTCACTGATAGCTGACCCTGAGTAGAATAAAATTTCTCCATACCTCCTACAAAAATCACTGAGAAAATACAAACATATTAAAAAAGCACACTAAAGTTATCTTTTACAAGACAGTTCAATATTATGAGACGTGATAAAAACAATAATGAAGGCTGCAAACTTTAAACCAAGAACACCTTATTGAGCAATGAAATGCACTACATTAGCTGAGCACCTTAGAAGTTAGTTGTTTTTTTTTATGGCCAGTGGAGAATCCAAGGAAAGGTGAGCACACACCTCCGAGAAACTGACAGTTCAACTGTTAAATTCATAATTAGCTGCTGTTAGTGAAACTGCCTGGAAGCTGTCTCTACCTTTCCCCTTAAATCCTCCTCTGCCAGTCAGGCACTCCAGAAATGCTGCATTCCTACAGAGAAGTGAAAACCTAAGTAGAAGCTTAGGAGATTAAATCAGAGCTCATGTTTCTGTGAGTTCAGAAGAGATGGATGCTGTGGGCACATCACCTGCTCCTCCTGCCCATCCTCACCCCATCTGTACAGTCACTCCCCAGATCTGGCCATCATTTCAGAGCAGTGACACCCCACTGGCAAGGGAACAACCACGTTGGCTGTGTTCAGGAGAAAGAAAGGGTGCTGTGATATCAAAGAACAATGAACACTGAGGCTGGCAGGTGCTCCTGCCAGGTAACCCAGCCTGTCCCCACTCCTGTGGCAGGGTCACCCTTGGCTGTGTGGGACCAGGAGGAGAGTGCTCCCCACCACTCCTCCATCCTCTGGGCACATGGTCTCAGCTGGGGCAGGAGGCAGGGGGAAGCATTTGTGACCACCACAATGGGAAAGGTCAAATAAACCGGGAAATTTTTCTTTTTCTTTTTTTTGGTGAAAGTATGAGCCAGAATTTTCAAATTTCAAAAGAAGGCAAGAAGTAAAAGGGCACTATTTTGCTGCAGGCAGGATGAGCCACCAGGCTCTCTTCCACCCCTACCTGCAATCCAGCATGATAATTCTATAAGAAAAGGCCACTCATCAATTCAAATGAGCCCTTATGGAATACTTTGCATTTGGTCCTCATTTGTATAATACACACACAATGAAATTCCAGCTGCACCATAAAATGGAATAAACTTGTGGACTTTCATCCAGGATAATGGATTCAGAAGACAAAGTACTCTCTAATCAAATGCAATCAATCCCTGAAGTGGTTAAAGAGTTCTCCCTAAAGACAAAGGCAAAGAGAAGTATAATATAATAAGCACCTTACAGAATAAGAAACCCATTCATCATACTCACTTGTCTACATGTGGTTAAAATAAAATCTGCCTTTGTGCTCACCTACATGCAAATGTATCAGATGGCAAACATTCCTGATACACCTGCATGAGCCAAGCAAAGTCTCATACTAATTTCACCTCCTTTGGGAGAAAATCAAACCTGAGAGCTAAATTTTTATCTGAAGGTGACACAGAAGTATGTTCACAGCACAAGGTAGTGCTACCTCACCCAGAAATGACTCCAGACATTTAGGAACACACTGGGTGCATTCATCAGATAAAAGTGAATGCAAATAGGCTGGTGTAGAGCAGAACATTCATGGGCTGAAACACACCCATCCTGCTGCCTTCCCACGGAGAGAAACTGCCAAATAAATCAAGAAGGAGGAGGTCACAAGACGCCCTGAGTGCGTAGAAGGAGAAAAACGTGCTGGCAGCTCCTGCTGCTCATAATGTATGAGCAGAGCCCACAAATGCAGCTGCTGCTTCTTTTAGGGGAACACTCCCAGCATGTGAAGGGCTCCACTCCTGCACACCCTGTAGCACAGCAGTGCACCGAGGGGAAAAGCCCCTGTGGCTCCTGGAAATGCACTTCCCCAGGTAACACAAGGTGAGCAGGCACGCTGGCAGCTGGGGCACACGGGGTTTGCCAGCTTGGCTCCAGTGCACACCCTGATGCCATCAGCCTTGCCAGGCTCACAGGAGGGAAAGGCTGAGAGAGAGCAGCTCCAAGGGGAGGAGAGCAGTGAGTGCAGAGGGCATCTGGCACAGCCACTGGCACAGCCCCCGGGAGGAGGAGGAGGATGGACACGCCGGCAGGAATCTGCCAGGACACGCACCCAAGGGGTGATGAGCCATGTCAGCTAGCTTCTCTACCTAGGAAAATACTGAAAAAACAGCTATGAAATAGCTAATAAATGTATTGGCCAATGTATTTTCAAACTGGTTTAAATTAAATCAGAAAAGGACACCTCATTCTGGGACAAGAGTGCCAGATTAGGAATTATTCTGGAATTTCCCCTTTAAATTCACATCACCTGTTACTCTGAAATAACCACACCTCCAGAAAAGCCCCAAGGCTCCAAGCCATAAGATCTGCTCCTTAAGACTATACGAAAATCTCCCCATTTCATTTTCACACCTCTGAATATGTGCTTCCAGTTTGCAGCCCTTGTGAAATTTAATTTCCTCAACCCACCAGGCTGCTAATCTTCAGTAAAGATGTATCCCAGTCTAAAAACAGAATTGCAGAAGGAAAGAAGCTGCTAATCCTCTGGCCATAGCTATCACAGGCTCAGCAGGTTCTTCCAGCTCATCAAGTCGACATGAATCAGAAGGGCTTGTGACACAGGATGTGAAGATGAGGAGTCAGAGGTGGATTTACAGACAAATTTTATTCCAAATATTCAGCAACATTTCTGTGGAATTAGCCCACCTACATTTCCATGATCTGTATTAGCCTTTACACTATCTACCATATTTCCTACCTGTGCCTCTAGACAGAATGGGAATGACATCTTTTCACCAGGATATCACTGGTGATAAACCACTCATCTCATTTCTGGTCCTAGAAAGCCTGTGTATACACACACACACATTTCACAGGATATCACAGGATAAACCACTCATCTCATTTCTGGTCCTAGAAAGCCTGTGTATACACACACACACACACATTGTTAATCAAGACAG